GTTTTGTCTCACAGCAAAATGCCACAGATGCCACAAGCAATGAGGGAGCGTGCAATTGGCATGCTGACAGCAGGAATGTCAACCAGATCTGTCGCCCGTGCATTGAATGTTCATTTCTCAACCATAAGCCGTCTCCACAGGTGTTTCAGAGAATATGGCAGCACATCCAACCGGCCTCACAACCGCAGACCTCGTGTAACCACACCAGCCCAGGACCTCCACATCCAGCAGGTTCACCTCCAAGATCGTCTGAGACCAGCCACCCAGACAGCTGCTGGAACAATTGGTTTGCACAACCAAACAATTTCTGCACAAACTGTCAGAAACCGTCTCAGGGATGCTCAACTGCATGCCCGTCGTCCTCATCGGGGTCTTGACCTGACTCCAGCTCGTCGCCGTAACAGACTTGTGTGGGCAAATGCTCACATTCGATGGCGTCTGGCACGTTGGAGAGGTGTGCGCTTCACGGATGAATCATGGTTCACATTGTTCAGGGCAGATGGCAGCTGAGAATGTCCCAGTTCTTGCATGGCCAGCATACTCACCGGACATGTCACCCATTGAGCAATGGGAAGGTCAAACAAAATCACAAATGCATGCATAGATACTAATTATAATTCCAGTATCTCCTCCTCTGTATCCTCTGCATTTTCTTTCCTTGGAGAGGAGGTCCGTACACCACAGAATTCTTCAGGGCAATGAAGGATTAGGCTAAGTGCAGTGAGATTGTATCATATATATACAACCCGTTCTCACTCCCAAAGCGTAACATTTTACGCTAGGTGACAAATCGTCACCATATTACGTTTTCGGCTACCCACCACGTTCCTAAATGACGACCTCGGAAAAAAGAGGAAATATGAGAACCGTCTGGACTGAATCTACACATGTTCACTCTTTTTATTCAAATCGCTTAGAAACACGCTATTTAACTTAATTAAAGTCCTGGTTAAGGTCAGGAATAAGGTTATGGTCAGGGCTAGGGATAAGGTTAGGTTTAGGGCTGGAATACAGGGCTGGAACATCTATTACCGCGGAAGCGTCATTGCACTGGATCCCAGCCATAACCCGCCGCGTACCATAAGAACGCCGAAGGTCTCCTTTCGCGTTCCTCAGGAACGCCGCGGGACGTGACAAAACGTCGACATGTTACGCCTCGGGAGTGAGAACGCTCTGATATATACCCTTGATCACAATTGATCAGTGGTCCATTGTGGCATCGCTTGCAGTGTCGCTAAGCGGGGTGTGACGGGTTGCCCTGGAAAAAGAGCCACGTGTCAGGTCAAACACAAATGCAAGAAAAATCAGGCCACTGTGCGATGTGTTCACTGCTACAGATACACATGTGGTAAATGCAGACTACAGATACCATGGCAGTGCCAGGATTGTGAGTGATTGCTGAAAATGTTGAAATGTACTCACTCACTTTTTATTATTATTTGTACATATGTGTACAAATGGTTGGTTTTTTGTACTGTTTTTATCAATAAATGTCAGCAACAAAGGACCTACACCCATGTGTGTTGATTTCTCCCTAAGATGGCAAACTGAAACACTCCACTCCCCCACCCCCTCAATCACTCACCCCCACTCCCCTCCCTCCAGAATTCCTAGGTAACGACCTAATATACATATGAATGACTCCAGCATTTGACTGACTGCTCTCCGGCTTTTAAAGGTAGAAACGCAAAATGATGACTCCGCGGGGGTCTAAGGTAGAAAACCAAAATGACTGCTCTCCGGGGGTCTAAGTTCACAGTTCACATTAGCAAAAAAGTGCGCGACAAAAGGTCAGACACACAGAAAATGTTGGCTGTTAGTACTCAGTGGTCTTTAAAACAACTGGAGAATCACAATCGATTTTTTTTTTTAATATAGAAATTAAAGTTAAGTTGCGGCGTTGAGGTGTTGGCTGCACCATGTCTCTACAGAAAAGCTTCATTGGACCTTAGCAAAAATCCACTGAACAAAACATATTCCTGCACTTGGTGTTTTAATATTGGTGATGACGAGGGCGATTAAAATCTCCCACAGCTGTCCTTTTAGCTTAGGATCTGGTGACTGCAAAAGCCAAAGGTTATTTCATATGAATTTTTATATGCATACATATATATAGTTAGGTAACTGCTTTTAATTGCATGCCACATGTATTATTATATTATTATCATTTAATTTTATGTCTTGTACATTTTTTTTATTATTTTATTTATGATTAACAACAAAACTAAACTGGCACATAGCAATAACATTAGATTCACAATTTTATCTTCTGCTTTTAATTCATTTTCACAGGATGAATTCAATCAATGTTTAGATATTTTAAAGGGGTCAAACAAAAAACATACAAATACTTGATGAAAGTTTAAAACTCTGAGTTAAATTTCAGGTGGCACATAAGAACTTTGTAAGCGCTGAGCTTTGTACCGGTTTACAGAGATGACTTACAATCTTTAGAACCCCAATACCTTGTAAGTATCATTTGGAATACAGTGTGACTCATAAACATGCCAGGGGGCCTTTATGTCAGGCATGATTCAGTAGACCACTTCATCATACATCAAGGAATTGATTCCAAATGTTTCACACTTTGGCTTCAACCTCTTTTATGCTGGCTTCATCTTAGAGTGATTTTTCAGATCTAGAAACATCAGGTTGAGGTTTAAGTGGAACGCAAAAAACTTTAAAAAATAAATAAATAAAAGAAATAAAGAAATAAAGCCCCCTCAGTGTGAAGTATCAAGAAAGAATGTAGTTTTAAACTTGCTCTGGAAAGTAGAGAAGCATTTCGTCATTTTTTAAAATATTATACGTGCTTTTTTTAATTACACAAATACATTCAGATACTTCCTTTGTTACACGTTGCTAGGACTGGGTTGAACACCCTTTTTGCCTTCAGAACTGCTGTCATTCTTCATGGCATAGATTCAACAAGGTGCTGGAAACATTCCTCAGAGATTTTGGCCCATGTTAAAATGATAGCATCACACAGTGGATGCAGATCTGTTGGCTGTACATCCATGATGCCAGTCTCTCATTCCAACATATCCCATAGATGCTCTGTTGGACTGAGCTATGTGTGAGACTGTGGGGGTCATTTGGGTACAGTGAAAGGGATGAACATGGTCAACAACAAGCTCACTAGGCTTGGCATTTAAACAATGCTCAGTTGGTACTAAGGAGTTCAAAGTATGCCAAAAAAAGATCCATGCTTTCATGTTGTTTACACCAAATTCTGACCCTACCATCTGAATGTTGCACCTTTAAGTGAGACTCATCAGGCCAGGCAATGTTTGTCCAAGGTTTTTCAGTCCAATTTCGATGATCCCATTTGAATTGTGGCTCAGTTTCCCAATCTTAGCTGACAGAAATGGCACCTGGTGCCATTCTGCTGCTGTAGCCCATCTGCTTTAACTTTCCTTGTATTGTGTTGTGCTCTTCTGCATACCTTGTAACAAGTGTTGATTTGAGTTACTGTTGCCTTTTTTACAGCTTAACACAGTCTGGTTATTCTCCTTTGACCTCTGGCATTAATAATTCATTTTTCAGCAGCAGTTGAAATACTCTGATATACCGATGTTGGCATCCAAATGGTGCCTGCTCATAACATTATTACTATTATAATAATAATAATAAATATGCTGTCGTCTCATGAACAATGAAATAACAGCATTTTAAAAAGCTGGTTATTATTTAATCAAAGCATAAAAGACTTTAATGCATATTCACATCACAATACATTACATTTTGTTTACAAACAACTGTAAAATGACAACAAATATCATGTTCGATGTGGAAGGTGGGCTCCATTAGACTCAGTTAGTGTGCATTTGAGCAACATAATATCATAATTATCATATCATATTTGATAAGATGCCGTACTTTTATACATGTAACTGAATCAGAATAGGTGAAGCAATATTGACGTGCGTTTTGTGAAGCATTTCTTTTTTCTTTTCTTTCCTTAATGAGCTTCTGTATGTTGTTTACATGATCAAAATAAATTGAACATAAACAAACAATAAATGTAATTAAACATCCTGATGATTTTATCATATCTGGATAATCTGTTGTGAAAGGAGCAATCTTTATTATCAGTGATTAGGACCGGTAAGTTCACTCTACGACACACCGGGCTCATTTATTTAATGAGCCAGAACACAAACAGCAAACTGTAAACCACACAGGGGCCCTGGACCTGCTGTTGAATAGTTAGGATGTCTGCTCGGAAATATTTCCCATGGTATACTGTGGGAATAAGACCTTGCTCACTGTAGGTTTACACTGAGGCTCCAGGGTAGGCTTATTTAGGGTGGACTTAGAGTGACATTCCAAGACGATAGGTGGTATTAGTGTTTCAGAGGGTCCATATGACCTCAGTCTGTCTACAAGGGAAAGGTGTTGTGTGATAGAAATTTCACACAAAATAATGCCTTAATGGATAAAATGTAAAACAAAAATGTAAAAACAACAACAACAACAGCAAAAAGTGACCATGGTCGCGATTTTTAAAAATATGTTATCACAAGGCAAATTATCTCACAATCTCAGGATAGCCAACATGTTTTCTTATAATGAAAAGACATTTTCCTCCTGTTCTTGAGAAAACAAAGACTCAAATTAATTAGAAAATTATCTCGTGATCACATGGAGAAATATTTTCTTTTGCATAGATTACAAGGACATTATCCTATTATCTGGATAACTTTGTTATTTCAAGATATCAAGATTGAAAGAAAGCGTCACAAACCACAGCTTATATCAGCTTCTCACAGTATCTGCTGAAAAACTTTGTAACTCCTGGTATTCGCTTTATTTATTGCTCATCTTTTTTTTAGCACAAGGGAAAACAGTGTAACACATTCCCAGCAGATCAAGGATACAGAGTGATGCACATTTATCTAATGAACTAATATGTGAATATGTTCTGTTAACTCAAAAGTATAATGAGAACTAAACTACATACAGCTCACACACTCTATATTAAAGGGTATAATGTGATCTACAGCAGTATTCTAATTCAACTACTTTGATTACATATATAAGGTAACATATAATAACAGAATAATTTAATACTACGAGTGAGTAATTTTTGGTGAAAAGAGTTAAAGCACTGTGATTGACCTTGTGCAGACAATAAACAGACAATAAACCCTGAGGCTACTCAGCTGTGCTGTTCTCAGTACTTCCCCACATCAAACCACTTTTCTAGACCAGAGAAGCTCCATTTCTGATGAAAGAATTTCACTTCACCGGGTCTGGGTACTTATTGTACATTTACGCAGTCTGAGGCAGTTGTATGTGTGTAATGAAGTATTTGTATGGTGTGAGGACCAAATACACAGAAAGAGAATTTAAAGAAAAAGCAGGATTTACATAATGGTGAAAAAGAAGTGCGAAATTTTGTCACACCATATAAAAAGGTTCACTTATATAACTGAAAGGATTTACATGTAAATGACTCTGTTTACTGCTCCTCATATCTCCTGAAATCTTGTCCAAAGATTAAGAGTCACACCTGTTTTAATAAAAAGCGTACAACAAGTAAATAGCATGAAAATAGTCACTATTACTGGCTAACAGATTATATAAAGTTACCAGTCTTACAGGAAGAAAAGTTATTTCATCTCTATAATAAACCACTGTTACTGCCAGTGTTAATGATGTTTTGTCATACTGTTAAAGGAAATCCTGGCTCCCACCTCTATTTCGAGTAAGCTTCTTTTTTATTGACCTGCTATGTTTAACGGTTGATTAAGGAATGGGAATACGAGCTTTTAAATGTAAATACAATTCACACACACTCACACACTGTACATACAACACAAAGTGAGGAGATTTTTGAAAGTCTATGTGTAATTTGGAAAATGTATGCATAGTTTTGACTCTGTGCATCCAATATGTTACATATCATATGCTTGCTTTCAACACTGGATTCTTTAACAAAACTAAACTATAAAACTATAGACACGGTCTTGTTCTCCTCACATTAAAAAGTAGCTCTTTAAGTGTAACAATACTACTTTTTTCCCCACAATCAATATTATCACATTGCTTAATGTTCACGGCCTCTCATCCTTTTTCTTATCTTTCTTGCACACAGATGCCAATTGTGACAAGTTTAATTTAGGAGCTGCATTCCTGAACCTGTGACTACACATGAAATATGTGAAAAACACTGTAATGCTAGTTTAAGCTCGAGGGCCTAATATAAGTCAATTATTAGAGCTTCCTCATTTTAAACTCCATAAATTAAGCAACAGACACTAACATTTACTCCTGTAATTTTCCTGTTTGATTTTCTAGAGCAGTCTGCGTAATCTGACTTGGCTTTAGTTTATACTAACCGCAGTTTTTCTGCTGTGAGAATATTTTTGTTACTTTTACTCTAAATTCTGAAAGGTGCAAACATTTTAGAGAATAAATAAGCAAAGTTTGCTCGCTCAGAATCTGTTAGAGGACACTGAATAAATGTATTTATTGCTCAGCTGAAGGTTAATGATATAATAAGATGCATCGCATAGTTGTTTTTTACATGAATCCTAGCTATACACCATAAAGCAGTTCACTGGCTCTGAAGTTGCTATTAATCTGAGCTTGCTGTGGAACTGAGATGAAAGCTTGATGAACATCAATAATGGTTTTAACAAATAATATAATTAAATGCCCTCCATACAGGCTACATAATATTATAAACCAAAACTCAGTAATATGCCTCATAACACAAGTGGTATTCTCCATTGTGGAATGGTGTTTTAATGGCAAAGTATCAGGCAAAACATCAAAATATCATGGCTTCACCCTGCTTTACATAGCTCCTCCTGGCGCTTTTCCCTCTACAGCATTTTTGCAAAAATGCCTCCGTCTTCCTATATACATTGATATGATCTCATTATTTTTAAAGACTGAGTCAAAGGCAGTTCATAAAACTACATATGAACGCAAAGGGTGGGTCTAAACGAGCTTTGCATAACAAAAGGTCACCAGCTAGTATGTTGTGGTTAAAGTTCTCCTCATGAGGCTCTCAGATGGGATCGAAAGGGGATAGGCTCCGCGGTCTGTATCACATTTGCTGAAGTTTCTGAGTTCTTGAAACCAACTTGCTCCAAGAGTTATGATGCTGAGGAATGTCGGCAGTGTTAAACTCCAAAGTTCTTTCCCTGTGCGTACCTGGGAAGGCAAAGTGCCAAACGGAAAGAAATGAAGGGTCCATTCACCCAAGAAGAAGAGAAGAAGATGGAGGTGCATCAAACTGTCATCCAAGTCCAGGAATTTTATGACGACTTCGGGTTGGGAGGATCTGTATGGAGCTTTGAAGAGAACATATCAGACTAAATTAGTAATACTGAAGAAGCAAATATTGCAATTCAGTGCTGCAGATCCATAAAGTTAGGAGACTCAAAAGAGACTGTGTCATTGTGGCTTCACTTCATGGTCCCCAGTGTGGGATTATACAGTAATACAAATTGCCCTTATTTAGACAAATGTGCTGTATCCAGAAGCACACAGTACAGTAAAATCAGATACTTGACAGATTTATTCACCAACCTCTTTCTTCCCATTTTAAACAAATGCCCAATTTACTAAAAATATACTACAAGTTTCTGCTTAAAATAAGTAGGAAGAGTCAAACACTTGTGTATATGTTTTGTGTCTATTTTATAAATTAGCACACTGTCCATTGATCACAGCATATTTAAACACCAGGAATCTATTCAAGCTACAGTTTGTTAGAGAAAAGTGCTTGCTCTGGATTTGTGGTGGCCCACTACAATCCTAATTTAGATTTGTAAATGTCACAGCATTTTCCTTTCAGTATGAGAACCTCCCTCATGCTTGAAAGTTAACTTTTGACTGTCCAGGCTTGTCAAACTGAAGGAAATTTCAGCTCCCTAACAATTACGGGCAGTTCCAAGAAGCAGCTGATAGCACTTGTTTGTGCAGCCTACGAAACTTATGAACAGCTATTACCCTGCACTTATGTGGCGATTTAAAGTGCTGCATGCTGCTGAAGTTCAGGCTTTTCGCCCAGTGATTTATCATGGGATGTTTTCCGCACAGCTATTGAACAAACTGCTATTCATCAGAGCTGACTTGAAATTGTGTTAGCTGGTCTTGAATCATCAGCAGGAGAAAATCGATTTCTATCACTACGTAAAAAACAAACGTAAGGTAAGCCCAAAATAAATTAAATGTCAATGACGAACCACTGGAAGAAAAAGTTACCTATTCTGTCTGATAACAGGCTAGACGATGTGCCTATCAGTTATATTTATAAGAAAAAAAGTACCAGTCACACCACTGCTCTAGAGAAACCATCCATCTATTTTCTTCCATCTAATTCAGGGTTGAGAGCGGGGCTGGAGCCTGGAGGGGGCTGGAGGTGTCATAGCTTGAGAGGCGGGGTACACCTGGACACGTCGCCAATCTCTAACACAGAGAGACTGACAACTACTCACATTCACATCTAGGATCAATTTCGAATTCCCAGTTAACCTAACTCCAATAATTGCACGTCGGAGAACCCATAGACCCGGGGAGAACATGCAAACTCCACACAGAAAGGCCCCAGTCAGAGGGTGGAGTTAAGCCCAGGGTCTTTTTGCTGTGAAGCAACTGTGCTAACCACCTTGCCAACATGCTAGAAGATGTCCACCTAGAAGAACCTAACTCAATACTGGTTTTCTTGTTAGGTAGTGCAAGCCATTGCTGAAAACATATTTTACACGAAGCGAAAAGTCTGGGTGTTTTTCTCAAACTGTGTCCATGTGAGAATAGCACAGCTGTCCAAAGCAACTGTGCGGACATATTTTTTGTCCTGTGGGCTCTAAAGGCAGCACCGTACAGATAAACCAGAGTAATTCAAGTGCAGGATCTGGCTTGTCAGAAAGTAGAACTGCTGACAATGTCAACATTTCTGTCTGGGCATTTTCTGAAGTTCATGTTAAATTTATTATAAGCCTCTTGTCAGCACAAGGTTTACTTCTGTCACTCTTTAGGCTCATTTATGGATGCAATCAAAATTCACAAAAGTAGAGAGAGAAAAAGGATTGTCTCAATATCATTTTTACAGAAATAATCAGACTGACCTTGACAGACAAAAATCACGACACTCCGGGTCTGCATCGGTCACAACACAACGGCAGCGCGGTGTCTCTGCCCCCTCGTGTTGGGACGGCTGAACACCACGTCGTTTTCGCTGACGTCCTCTGTAGTTCGACATTCCGTACGGCACAGTGCGCCTTAGAAGGACAGAGAGAGGCCTTTTTTCAGCATTTAGCAACAGATGAGCAAAACAAAGCAAAAATAATAAATGGAGCAGATACATCAGGACCTTCACACTGTCAGTGCTCAAACCCTACGCAGAAAAAAATTTGTTTTAAGTTTTAATTATTCATTTTAAAGCTATTTTTAAACAACTACATTTTTATGTTCTCCAGTGAACCAGGGAACATTTGTTCTTTTGACAATGGAAAATGCAGCCAGAAAGGTCAGTGAAACTGAATAAAAAACAAACCTGACATATGACTTCGATATATCACATTTATAATGTCAGCACCCATCACCATATTGTCTATTCTGGCCCTAATCCTCGCATCTGGATAACATTTAGATTCCAAGTGCCAGGTAGGCATCACTTCTTTTCTTTCTCTTTCCACTCATCTCTTTTCAACCATGTGTGATTGATTCTGTGAAAAATAAGGATCTATATAGAGGCCTTTATATCTTTAGGACCTACGAGGTTCTGGGGAAGGGGGGGGGGGGGGGGGGGGGGTCTGCTGACAATGTCAACATTTTATTGTCTGGGCATTTCTGTATGCCAAATAAAAGATTCGTTGAATTGACAGATAAAAGCCTTTCTTTTGTAGATTTGACAGATTATGTCAGACTGCCTGCTGCTTATAACTGACTGAGTACCTACAGTGTTGCTGGCATCTTGCTGGGCTGCCTTTACTGTGTCTTTTTCCACTGGAACTTCAGCCTGTGTAATTAACTTCAGGGTGAAATGCATTTGAACCTAATACCTGTTCAATCTAAAGTCGGGGCTGTGAGTCAGAGATCACGCTCAATGTAGCGAAATGCTGTTGTCAGCTGGGGCAGTTATTCCAAAGTGAAAGAAGGGATTTGAGGAAAGCTTTACTTTAAACACTCTTACAATGTGTAGGATCTTTTTGATCAAACTTGTACACACAAATACTTCAAAGTTAGTCTTGTAAGCAAGAACAAAAGGATGGAACATTTGGGATTTCTCCTCTAACTAAGGGTTTGCTATGTTTTTGTTTCAAAAGCATCGAATCCTTTTGGGAATCTTCTGTTTCAGTGCAGTGCTCCAACCATGTAAGAACAAGTTTTCAACACGCACATAATGCACCTAATACTTGCTGCAATAGAGTTACTGGTATTATTTTCACCTTTGTGTGTGTGCGTGTCCATGTAAATATGTGTGTAAGGACACACCCACTATAGGAGAAACTGACATAACAAAAAGGTTTTAGAACTTTGGCAGGTGTTTGGGCATCTGCCTTTACCTTACTTTACATCTGTAAGACTTCAGCCAAAGAGGATTTGTGACTAGATTGGTTTGACTGTTTGTCCGTTCCTGAGCAGGATTATTTAAAAGTTATAAAAAGTTATGAAAATCTTACTAAATGTGGTGCTTGGCCTAACTTAAAAGGAAATCTGAATTTGATGTGCAGAATTTGATACTGTTGCGAGATCAGACACTTTACACCAGTGGTTCCCAAACTTTTTTTGTAGTTGTTTTTTTGTCCTGTGTAATAATATTCAACATTGCTATCAATACATTTTTTCAAAAAATGTCTCTCTGTGCAAAATGGGTTTAAAAACATGAACAACTGTGGGATACTGTTTGTCCATGATTTGAACCGAGGGAACAAATCGTGGCAGGTACGGCCTGATATTATTTGTATCCCACTGTAACTTTACTGTATAAAGAGCTAATATCGCCAAAATGTCAGGAGTAGGTATTTATTACAACAAGTGTTTGTGAACTAAAAATCAAGAATGTGGGATACTGTTTGTCCGTGATTTGAAGAGCACAGCGCATGCTCTCGAGGCAGGGAAAACCAATTCTGCAGGGGAGACCTACCTTGGCACTTGTGCAGGTGAAACCAAAGAGAAGATATGCTTCACCATATTTTCTAGTCTTTGGCTTAGAATGAAGTTGGTTTGGAAACATATTCAGCGATGCTTCATCTCCTGCTTTGCGTTTGTGTGGGCGCCCCGTGCTAGCAGTGTCCAAGCGTTGTTTTGTTGTTTCCCTTTTCATGCCGCGCTCCCCCTGCAATGGCTCTGCGCCCCCCCTAGGGGGCGGGCCCCACACTTAGGGAAGGTCTGCTTTACACCATGTCTTCACGTCAGATTTTTTCAACAAAAAAAAAAATCTGAAACTAAACCAAATCCTTGGTAGACGTATAGCATCTTAGACTGCCCCTTTTTGTATTTGTAGTTGAGATGTTTGCTGCTGACAGCAAACATCAACTCGACTCCTTTTTTTCTCCTGCCATAACTTTGACAACTTGTCTAAGAAACACCCCTTATCAAGTGTTTTTCACCAGTTAATAGCAATAGTAAAGGCTATAGCTATATAAAGCTAAATACATAACTTAATTAACATAGAATCAAATAATCATTAAAGATGTAACAATACTTACTTAATTGTTCCCACATAATCTGTTACTACCCAATCCTAAATATATCTGTCAAACCATTTCAGCCAGCGCAATGAAGAAATCTGTCATTGCATTTTATCAATAGACAGACTTAGGCTATGACTCATGGCGTGCACGGAAAACACAATAAATGCACTAACTTTGGTAAATAATATCCTCCACCTGCCTGATTCCAAACTCTTGCAGGAACACTGGCAATCTGTTGGGCCTGCCATCACTTGAATCTGGTGCCTCGGGGTGGGTAACTGGGTGTAACTGCAATGTGTGGTGCCTCTAGTGCACGGCTCCTATTTCAGTTGCAAAAAAAGCCACGTGCCAATCTTCGTCTGAAAGACTAAATTGCTACTTCTTATAACTCCTGACAAACGAGGAGACGTTGTGCAACCTCTGGGATTCTTGCACAAAAGCGGATTGAACTTAATAAAGCGTGCCTTACTCGGGGGTGTTGATCCAGATGATATCCAAGTGGCAGTAGTAGACGCACTCTTTATCCTTGTAGGAATAGCAGGTGCAGCGCTTTTGTCTGGACTTTGCTTCTGTTGTCTCAGACAGCTGTGAGTCAGCGGAACCCCGGGAGCCAGACACCTTTGAGTCCAATTGGACCATGGCGCGGGACGCCAAGATACCGTTATTAGAAGCAGCTATGTTTAAAAAAACAAAACAATAAAAAATAATAGTAAACAGCTAAATCAGAAGTTCTTCATAAATAAAAAAGGTACTGAGTGCATTCATAAACAACCTTAAAAAATAAATATATCTTATTGCCTACCTTGCAAGACAATAACTGCCAGTATCTTGAAAAGCACGACTCTTGCGAGGATGGACAGCATCTTTGCCATGTCTCAATATATTCCACAAAATAAAGCAAACGCCTGACGAGGAAGCAAATTAATCTCCAACCATCATCGATCCATTAACTTTGGCGCGTGTCCGTGTGCAGTTCATGTGGTCCGCAGATGAAAAAACAAGTGTCGGAGGACGTCGTCTTTCATTCTAATGACTTCATCCCGTAAATCCTGCACCTGCAATTTTTACACTGAGGTGAAGGGAACGTGTTTATTCTAATCCAAGCTTCAGACTGCCGCAGTCGCAAAACAAGTGCGGTCTTTGGAGCGAGGCGAGGAACAAACCCTTGAAGTCGCTTTGCCTTCTAAGACATGCGGGACTTCGGAGGGTACACACCCACACCTCTCCTAGCACCCACCCTCTGTCAGATGCAGCAGCAGTGTATGTATTTACATATATGCCTATTCATACTTATTTATTTAATGCTTTTACTCGTTTTTACTGGACACCTTTATGAATAAATCAATGAATGAATATTAATACTCTTGAATAGTAATGCTCTTATAACCCATAAAAAGGTATTGCTCAGTGATGGATAAAAGAGACAAACGTGGTCTTGATAGTGAAATAAGTCCTTCAGCTGCACTAATCAGTGCTGTCCTGTTGCCACCCACTGACTGGCGCATATTATCCATAAGTTGAGGGTATGAACTCAACACACAGAGACCCCACCCCAACTAGGAGACTGAAGCCAGGAGCTTTCTTGGTGTGCTGCCCAGAACCACTTATCACTTTTTGCTATTTTCAAGTTTATAGTACAGCTGATTTAAACAAACCCACTTCTAGGCCATCTTGGTGTTGCTGCCACACAGGAAGTGTATTTCCCCCTTGATAGGCCTTTTAATTTTATGGGTAGAGCTTGTTACTAAGTCAGCTGTAAACACTTTTTTAATATATAAATATCATTAAAGTCAGTGTTTTAATTCATTCAAGCCTATTTATGATTTCATTTTAGTGTATTTAACGTGTGTGTGGTTAGCATTGTCACCTCACAACTAGAAGATCATGGGCTCAAATCCACCTGCCACCCAAGAATTGAGTTCCTATGTTCTAAGTTGTTTCTGACTTTCTCCCACAGTCCAAAGACACACATGTTAAGTTGACTGACAATTCTAAATTGTCCGTAGATGTGAGCGTGAAGGATTGTCTGTCTTTCAGTGTTTACACTGCAATAGACTGGAGACCTGTGTAGGTTGCAATTTTTTTTTACACAGCTTTCCTTCTGTGCATTTTTGCAAAAAAGGAGTTACAGTAAAAAGATTTGCCTTTGAATGTAGCAATTTCCTCTCAACTTCCAGACCAGATAAAAGGTTTATGCTAGAGTTGCTGGTGTTTGGCGTGCAAATAAAGTAAACTTAGCAGTTTGCAAACGACCTGGGACCCCATACAAAACTGGATCAGTTACGTGGCCACCACCTATCAAGAACACAAGCCAGAATGAAGAGACTTGGAAGAGACAGCCAAAGCAACAAAGGTGTTTTACACAGGAATGTTGTTGACTGATCCAATTAATCATCAGAACTTGTCTGGTGATGAATGTAAGACAAACATATCAAGCATTTAGTGACTGATTTACAACCAAATCGAAAATATCAGTCATATTTCAGTGAGAGCCAGTTCCAGCCCAGCTCTGAACAATGAGGGAGGAATAAGTTACATTTCTAAGTCATGAAGTAGTAATAGACACATGGAACTAACACTGAAAATTCAAGCAGCAGCATAAATCATTAAATGGCGCCGGTGAGGTCGGCTGCCGTGCTGGATGCTCTGCCCTAACTTCTCCACTTTTTACAGTTTTTCGTCACTTTTTGCTATATCTGCGATAATCTTGCATGGGCATCATGCAAAACACACAAATCCGCCACAGTAGAGACACTTTGGTTTCTATTGGTCTGCAGTACACGAACATTTCACCATGTTTAACTCCGGACCCAACCTGGCCAAAGGAGATCCTGAGAGAGAACAAAGGACGCGACCCTAAGCGACGGCCTCGAGGTAAAAGAGCCGGCATCAGGAACAGGCTACGGGCTCGCGCACACCGCGCACCCATGCCCAGTATCCTGCTAGCCAATGTTCAATCCATCGAGAACAAGCTTGATGACCTCAGAGCCAGAATCAAGTTCCAGAGAGACATTCGGGACTGCAACCTCCTCTGCTTCACCGAGACTTGGCTGAACCCAGCGATACCAGACCACGCCGTGCAGCCGACGGGGTTCTTTTCGGTTTACCGCATGGACAGGACAATGGAGTCGGGGAAGAAAAGAGGTGGTGGAGTGTGTTTGATGGTGAACAACAGATGGTGCGACAGCACAAACATCTCCCCACTCACACGCTCTTGCTCGCCCAATCTGGAGCTTTTGATCGTTAAGTGTCGCCCTTTCTATCTCCCTCGGGAATTCACTGCGGTCATTGCCTGCACTGTTTACATTCCGCCTCACGCGGACTCGGACACTGCCTTATGTGAGCTACATGAGGCTCTCACACATCAACAAACACTTCACCGAGATGCCGCACTCATTGTTATGGGAGATTTTAACAGAGTGAATCTCAAACGGACATTTCACAACCTTCACCAGCACATCAACTGCCCCACCTGGGGCACGAGGACATTAGACCACTGCTACACCCCGTTCAAGAACTGTTACAAGGCTCAACCCCTGCCGGCATTTGGAAAATCGGACCATTCCGCCATCTTCCTCATACCTGCTTACAAACAAAGGCTAAAGCAGCAACCACCAATCAGGAGGGAGGTCGCTCGCTGGACGGACCAATCGGTGGCCGCGCTGCAGGACGCACTGGATGACGCAGACTGGGACATGTTTCGGCGCAGCTCTGATGACATCAACATGTTTACGGAAGCGGTTGTGGGATTTATCGGGAAACTAGCGGACGACACAGCAGAAAGAACTATCATCCGAACGTTTCCCAACCAGAAGCCGTGGGTGGATAAAAACATCCGCGACGCTCTGAGATCACGCACCGCTGCCTACAATGAAGGGCTTGTCTCCGGTAATATGGACCTATACAAGGCTGCGTCCTACAACGTGCGCAGCGCGGTCCGAAAGGCAAAGCGGAGCTACGGGGAAAAACTAGAGTCACAGCTACGACAGTGCGACTCTAGGAGCCTGTGGAAAGGACTGCGGACTATAACGGACTATAAACGACCAGCTTCTTCAATGATGAATGCCGATGCTTCACTGGCTGATGAGCTGAACACGTTTTATGCTCGCTTCGACGCCGCAGCAATTAAAACAACAAACGGCTGCGCGCGCTCGGAGTGCACCAGTGAAGAAAATGCATTCGTCATCACAGAGCATGCCGTGAGGAACACCTTCAGGAGGGTGAACACCAGGAAGGCAGCAGGACCAGATGCAATCCCTGGCCGGGTCCTTAGAGCCTGCGCTGATCAACTAGCACCGGTGTTCACGGAGATCTTCAACCTCTCCCTGGCCCAAGCTGTGGTTCCCACGTGCTTCAAACGGTCCATTATTGTCCCTGTTCCAAAGAAACAACAGCCCGCTTGCCACAATGACTACCGTCCAGTAGCACTGACTTCAATTGTGATGAAGTGTTTTGAAAGACTGATGAGAGATCACATCACTTCTTCACTTCCTCCCACCATCGACTCACTTCAGTTTGCTTACCGGACTAATCGTTCCACAGACGATGCCATATCTCACCTGCTCCACACATCCCTGAGTCACCTGGACACTGGCAGAGGGAATTATGTTAGGATGCTGTTCGTGGACTACAGTTCAGCATTCAACACAATAATTCCCTCTAAGCTTTTCACCAAGTTGACGGATCTAGGACTCAGCTCATCACTGTGTCAGTGGATCCTCAACTTCCTCACAGACAGACCCCAATCAGTGAGGGTAGGAAAACAAGTCTCCCCCTCCATCTCACTCAGCACTGGAGTGCCTCAGGGCTGTGTTTTAAGCCCCCTGCTGTACTCACTGTACACTTATGACTGTGTAGCCACATCCGACACCACCTCCATTGTCAAGTTTGCTGACGACACTGCTGTTGTGGGCCTGATCTCCGACAACATCGAGACGGCCTACCTGGAGGAGATTAGGAACCTGGAGACCTGGTGCCAGGAGAATAACCTCCTCCTAAACATCAGCAAGACTAAGGAGCTGATCGTGGACTTCACTACAAAGCAGGCGAGGAATTACAAACCCCTCATTAGGGCTGGGCCATATTATACCGTTCACGGTAATACCGGTATAATGTTAGGCAACGATAGGAAAATGAAATATCGCGATAGAATGGGAGTAAAACGCGCATGCGCAGTGCCTTTGTTTTCATACGCACATGGCCGATTGTTGGTTTGTAAAAATGGTGCAACTTCCGTGATGTGGAACTGGTTTGGTGTTTGTCCGTCAGATACACAACAAAGCACATTTTTTTGCAGAACATGCAAGCGGCCGTTGTTATTGTCGTATTTGTCGGACTAAGATGCTCTTAAATCTGGGAGTAATCTGGGTCCCAAACTCCGTATATTTGACTTCAGGTCAAACAACACTGCAGCATCACTGAGAGTTGAAAACTGTCTAAATTCTTTGATCTTTAATAAAACGATCAGCATTGCTGCTTTACCAGGTGTAACTATAAAGTTTAACTTCCAGGCATCCATGAAAACAAAAGTTATTACATTTAACGGAGTTAGAAGTTAGCAGGAAGCTAGCGGAAGTTAGCTCGCTAGTTTCGCTAGTTACCTAAGCATGATATAGCATGTTCTGACTGAGAGATTTCTGAAAAAATTCAAACGTACAGCTCTGCTATCACTTCCAACATAAATGAAGACAGGAAACTAAACAGCAGTGACGTTTGTAGGGTTACTGAAGTTGGGCTAGCTGGTATATAATGATGTGCTACGTGATCGCTAGCGACACAGCTATGTTAGCATAACATAAACAGTGAAGCTGGAGGACGAACACTAACACTTTTCCACTTATAAAAGTTAACGTGAAGGTTCCTCATGGTTAGAGACAAATGCAATCGCATGGCAGGATGCTGTAAACGGACCAAACTTCAGTCAGGAGAACAACTGAGATAATCCATCCACAATACGAGGTTAGTCATTAATATACTGCAACAACATCGGAATAGAGCAGCTGCCAGAGAATTCAACATTAATGAATCAATGGTACAGAAGTGGAGGAAGCAAGAAGAATGAGTTTAATAAAGTTTGATTTATCTGACTGCTTTGTTTCGCTTAATGTGCCTTATAATCCCGTGTACCTTATGGTCCGAAAAATGCGTACTGCACACTGCAGTTTAATGTT